TTAATTATTCATATTTCCTGTTGTGAGCTAAATTCGCTACATTACAATATATAATATATTTATAATTTGAAATAATTCATATATATTTGTGTAATTTATAAAAATAAAATTTTTATATATTGTTTTGTAAATGTTAGACATTTTAAATATTTTGTTCTAATGCCAAATCAATTAAGCAATCAAAAATATCTCCATCACTTTATAATAACAACTTTATATTTCATTTTTAATTATGACTGCTCAGACATGGTTTGCAGCAAAAATAAACAAAACAAAAAAACCACAGAGTGAGCCGTTTCTCAGTGTAGTACAGTTAATAATGGAATCAGGATGAGTGCTGTAACACAGGCGATGTGTTGAGGTGTGTAACCCACCGCAGGTGTGGATGATGCTGAGGTATTTGTGGGTGCCGTGGTAACAAGGGTCGCCAAACTCTTGTGTCGAGGCTCGGACCACACAGGAGCGTTTCCCCTGGCAACGTGATGTCATCACCTGCAGAGCCACATCTGACGAGCAGTCTGGAATCACATGACACGTCAGGTGAGAGCTCAGCACACACACACACACACACACACACACACTCACCACAGACGTTTACTGTTTATATATATATCTATATATAAAGCTAATTATAATGACTGACAAAAAAAATCAGTGCTTGCTTCATTTATAAATCATTTCTCCAACTGGAGATGTTCCTGATTGTTCCAAACTGGAGCATTTGTCACTTCCAGAGACAATTTTTACAGTAAATTATAGCTAAGTATGAACCAGTGTTCTTTTACACCGTGTCTTCACTGGAGGCGACAGTTGTCGTGTCGCACCACAACAGCTGAAGGCTGTCTACACTGGACATGACAAAGCCACCATTAAATCATCTGTACTTGGTGTCAGTACGGTATAAATAGAACAAGGATTTGTCACTGATTCTAATGTGTTCTTTTGTTGCGTCGCACCGCTTGCATCCGGCGTAGACATGGTGTTAGTATAATTGAGTTTGAATTATTAGTTCTGAGAAAATAACTGAAAATAACTATTTAGAACAAAAAAAACAATAAAAATGACAAAAGCAAATAAAATTACTACAAAAATTGAATATCATTAAAATAATATAGTATAATATA